CTTGCGAACCCTGGCGCTTTCACACACCTCCGCCCTCCCACCACCTTTTAGAGGCCTCCAGGCCCCTGGTGTCTGGTTTATTGCGTGTGGGCTCAGAGCTGGTTTCTGTGAGGCCTTCACGGGAGAATGAGAGGGGGTCCTGCCTCAGGCAATGCATGGGTTGCTTGTGGAGCCATAGCTGTGGTCTGCCGGCTCTGTGTCCTTTTCTCTGCCTGTGCTTGAAGTGAGTGAGGGTGCCTGTGTCCTGTAATGCAGGCAAAGGAAAAGTTGTAAGGTTTTCCTCATCTTCAGAGAACCCACTCTGCCCCTTCCTAAGGGGACAGCCCTAGGTCAGTGGCAGTGACCAAGCATGAAGTAGACTGAGGTTCAAGGGAGACAGGCTGTCATTGCATTCATATCCTCACCCTTGGATTCCCCAGTGGCTTTCTGTTGAGCATGATGGTTGTCTGGACGTATAAGCAGCGCCAAATGGCCCATCACATGCTGGCTTCTTGTCCCCTGCAGGAGGTCATGTGACTGCTGTCCCATGAATGAGAAATGTCCTCAGGGAGATCCTGGATTATGAGATCCCAGGTAAGTGATGTCCTGTCTGGTTCTCTAGAGCTCAAGTTCTGTGCAGGCTAATTGGCCAGAGGTGTGGGGGGTGAGGGCACAGGCGAAGGCTGCTTCCCAGTGTTCCCGGGTTTGACCCCATGGGCCAGCAGGCACAGGTCCTGGCCCTCTTCTGAGAGCCGCTGGTGAAGGCTCCTGTGATGTGGAGAGGAAACAGTGTGTTGGAATGGACGGGGGGCTGCGTTTTAGAGCCAAGCCTGGATGTATGTCGTGACCAGCGGTGCTCTCTGTGAGCCTGAGTGGGAATGTTGTCTAATGTTCAGTGTTGGTACCACTCACACCCCGTCTTCCGGAACTCAAGGACTCTCAGTATACCTACTGTTAGTCTTCCCTTTAACTCTCAGCTCTTGGCAGGGACTTGGTAAGTAATCTGACAGTCAGACGTGGCTTCTGTAATCTTAGGTTGTAATCTGGTCATTGACCCGTCTGCTGGTCCGTTCTCACTTCAGCCATTTCTCAGGCTGCGGGCAGTGGCCTCCCTTCCCGCCTCACTCACTGCCCTTTTCTGCCCCTGCATTCGAAAGTGATCGTGGGCTGCCGGTGCCCTGGTCATTGATAGTGCAGGGAGAGGAACTGCGAAAGCATTTCCCCGTGTTTGGAGGGTCCACCCATGTCCCTTCCAAACCCTGGCGCTTTCGGACATACCTTCCCAGCAGTTTGTGTTACTTCCTGGTACCTGGTGCTGTGTGGCTCTTTGAAGAGTCCCTTTTGCCCTGCCGCACCGAGTTTATGGTTGAGGGATAGTCACTCCCCTCCTAGGGCTCCCCTCCTGGCACCTTTCTGTGCCTCCCTCCCCATCACATGCACCCCTTCCCACATCCCCAGTCCCACCTTTTAGTGCTAATCACACCTGGGAAGTGTTGGCTTGTTTATCATGTCCCCATGCGATGATCTTGAGGGCAGTGCCTCAGTCTTGTTTTGCATTGTGTTCAGTGGCTGACATACAGCACCTGGACAAAAACAAAGCAAAATAACAGAATGAGGCTCATCCCATTGTGGGTGGTTAGGGGAACAATAATAGAGCTGGGCCAAGCACAATACAGTTGAGGATATATATGTAAGTAACTCTTAAACTAGAAGGTAGACATGGGACCTTCCCCTACCTGATTACCCCTACTAGTCACTGCCAGTCAGCCATGGCACCCTCCCTAAAACTTGGGCTTGGCATCCTTTCAACATAGACTTGTTAGCAACAAATTGATCACAGTTGGCACGTAGGATAACACAGATGTTACTCATGATCACAGACGATCTGCAGACCCCTTCCTGGAGTTAAGTTGTTCTTGTTCCTGTGACGGCAGTGTGGCCATTCAGGTACTCATGGTAACAGCCCACATTGTCGGTGCTCTAATCTGCCAGCTACTGTGCCATGTTCTGTGCCCCGGGGCCTGCTACGAGTGCCCATTCATGGCTTGTCCCTTGCAGATGGGTCTGCGGGTGCAGAGGTGCCATGGGAGACGGCAGTCATCTTCATGTCAGTCTCCATATCAGCCGGGCGCTAGACCATGGGGTCCTGAGGTAAGTTTTTTGGACCATTTTCTGGAATTTGTTGTTTGACATCTGTAAAGTCACATGCATATTTCCTGGGACTTGGATGAAAATGTAAGGGCAAGGGAGGTTGAGGGGGCATCCGTGAGTCCACAGTTGTGTCCCTGCTCTGGGCAGCCCTTCACATGCCTACAGAGAGGGGCCTCTAGGAACCTGCCTGCGTAAGGGGCTCCCTGGGGCATCGCCCTTCCAAGTGCCGGAGTGTCAGCTGGTGCTGTGATGGAAAGCATGTAGGTTTAGACGCCAGAGACTCTGGCCCCACCTCTGAACCTATCCAGCTGTGACCTAGTCTCTCTACTTCTTCATCTGAAAATCAAAGCTGGGGTAGCAGAGAAGGTTTTTAACTTTTGTACATGGTGGTGTCATGACCACATGATCCTGATCTTTCCCAACCCAAAAGCATTTCTAATTTTTTATACTGGTAGTGTCCAGACTCTGGCAGAGATTTCAGAGGGTCTTTGCAGGATGCAGCAGAAGCTGTTGGGGTTCTGCTCGGCTGGGCCGCTCACCCATCTCAGCCATGCCCCTGGTACCAGCCTCCCGCCCTGACTGTCCTTTTCTGCTCCTGCATTCGAAAGTGATCGTGGGCTGCTGTGCCCTGGTCATTGATAGTGCAGGGAGAGGATTGCTGAAAGGAGTTTTCCCCGTGTTTGAAGGGTCCAGCTGTCCCTTCCAAACCCTGGAACTTTCACACACTAGCTGTTTCTCCTGCCATTCTCTTCAGAGTTTGGTCCTTTGCTCACCCCATGTGGTAAAGTGACTGGGCTACCCCCTGACTTGTGGGCTTCACTCTGTCTTTTCAAGTTAAGGATCCACTCCCCAGAAACCAGTCCATGTGTTTACATTTGTACCTCACAGTGGAGTAAATTCAGATAGTGCTGAAGGGCATGCATAATTCATGGGTTCTGCTTTATAAATTTATAGGAGTGTAGGATAATCCATAATAATAATACATTATTCAAGACAGCCAGTGGTGTTTGTGTGTTTTTGCTCCTTAACTCTTGAGCACGACTATATTGCCTCTCCAGGAGCCGTCGGTAATATCAAATTAATGGAGGGAAAAAATAAAGTTGGGGGCCAAGTGTAGTGGCAAAGAGGGGTTCTATCAATTCCGATCAGTTTGTATTGTCACAATCTACCAGAAGATTGAGGAGTTTTCTTGTCAGTCACGGAGGAGAGTCGAGCACATTGACTATTTATTCTCCTTTCGCTGACATTTAACCTGTGCTTTTGTGGTTTCTCTTGAAAAGGGTGATCCTGGGTGTTACTAGAGAAGGCATTTTCAGGCCTGTGGATCTTTGGAATCTGTATTTGTAGACTCAACCATGGCTTGCATTCTGGTTCTTGTTAGAATGCTGTGTTGCTGACTGGACACCAGACATGGAGTCAGCCATTCTTCTGCCTTTTGTTCCGTGCAGGTGTGTTCTGTAGGAGGCAGAAACCTGTGGCGCTGCCTTCACTTTGTAGACTCAGAAGATGCAACGTGGTGCCCCTGAAGGGCATGTCTTAGCTGAGGTGAGTTGGAGTTGAGGTCAAGGTATTCTTCTCATTGGTCCCCACTTTTGGCCTGAGGACTCCTGTCTAGTTCCCAGGTGCTCTTCCGTTGACATTCGTGTCGCTCGTCTTTGAGGATGGGATGCAGTTTTGCCATGTCTGTTGCCATATGTCTCATGATGATGTGAAGGTAGTGAGAATAACACATGTGAGCCACCTGGTACAGGCAGTCATCTAATAAACGTGAGATTTCCAAACCTGCCCTCTGCCCCTTTTGCATCAGAGGCTTGTCCTGTCCCACAGCCTGGTTACCAGGCCTGGGGCTCCTCGGTCATGTTGGAGGATTTAGTGGACAGTGGTGACCATTTTGAAAAGACAGTTTATCACCACCACCACTCCCACCTGGTAATTCATACCTCTGGGGGTAGCAACCTGTGGATTGAGTTGGGGCTCGCTTATGTAATGTGTTGAGGCTTTGATGATGTTTTCTCATTTAGCTTTCAGTGGGTCTGGCAGTCTTTTTTTTTTTAAATGTTTTTATTGATTTGAGAGAGAGAAACATCCATCGGTTGCCACACACACTGGACTGGCGACCTTTCGGTGCATGGGACGATCCTCAGCCAATTGAGCCACACTGGCCAGGGCAGGGCCTGGCAGTCTTGATCTTCAAAGATCTGGGCGCCTACAAGTCTTGCTGGAGGTTTATCTTTTATTTGCCTTTTTTGGCTGGGTCATAGAAAGTGGGTGTTTGCAGTATAGGATGACTGCTCCTGGGGCCTGGTGACAGGCTAGGCAGATAAATAATGACAATACGATGTGAGAGCCGCTGAAGATGGTGGTCAAGATGCCGTGGGACCTGTGTCAAAGCCCCTGACAGAGGGCTGAGCTGTCCTCTTGAGAGTTACTCTTATCTGGGTCAGCTGTCCTGATCATGAACCACTTGAAAGAAAATCATTTCCTATAAAAAGTGGGCTTTTAATTTTAAGTTGTTTTCCTTTATTGCCCTTTCCATTCAGGTGCTACCTAGTTTGGTGTGCATACACTGGGAGCTTGGGCCTGGCTGATCGGGGCCCTCTTGGTGATGTCGCTTGGGGAGAAGATGGCACTAGAGGCTGAATGCTTGTATGCTTCCTCCTAGGCCAGCCTTAGATCACAGACTGTTGAAGAAAGTCCCACGGCCATGAACCAGTGACCCTTGGGATGATTTGGGAGCTGGGTTTCCTGATGTTTCTCACCAAAGTGAGTTACTGCCAAGGGCTGGGAACCGATAGCTAGAGGATAAGCTGTTTTGTGTTTATGTAGATGCGAGCTCCAAACCACTGGACTCACCTTTCCTTTCTTTTAGATTCTCTCGGTGTTTGTGGAGACCAGAGGGGCCGAGAATTGAGAGGCAGGTCCCCACATGAAGCCTCACCACAGCTCTCCCCTCTGCCTGCTCAGAGCATCACGGACAGCTTCACTCTGCACAAGAGATCAGAGGGAAGCTTGGGGTCCACTTCAACCAGCTCTGCGTCTTGACAGCAGCGCCCTTAGAGGGCCAGCCCGTGTCCCTCAGCCATGCCCGGAATGACTTTAGTAGCCAAGAATTTTTCTCTTGAATTTGTAGCTGCTCATCACTTTCCTCCACCACCCATTTAGTAAACCTGACCAGCGTGCTCTGTCTGCCTTTTAAAGCAGCATCAAGCCATGTGCCAGCAAGGCTGGGCCTGGAGAAAGTGGGTCACAGCCAGATCTCGTTTTCAGTCCTGGCGTGTTCTCACTCTCCTGAGGCATGGCACGTGGGTAGTTGTTTGAAGTGTTCAGTTAGGACTAGGAGGTAAACAAGGGGTGGTAGTTGGTTCAGATTAAGGACCCATGACAGTTGAGGTGTTGAGCAGTCAGGCCAAGGCTTTGGAAGGGTGGCTGGTGACAGAGTGGACTAGAGAGACGGGTGCTGATGTCAGAGAAAGTGGGGTGTCCTGGAGTTCTGGGGCTTGGCTCATAAAAAATTGCCTGCTGTGTGACCAACTGTCCAAGTTTGCCTGGGATTGAGGGGTTTCCCAGGACGAGGGACTTGAATTGCTAAAACCAGGTAAGTCCCAGGCAAACGGACGAGTTGGTTGACTTATCTGAGGTGTAAAATAAAGGTGGGAGCAGGGTGAATGGAGCAGCTGCTGTTGGACCCTGGTGTCCTCAGGGTCAGGCTTTTTGGAGATCTTTGGTTTAAAATAAAAAACTGCCACAATGTGAGGATGTGCGTGCATGAATTTTTTAATCCCATTTTACAGATAGAGGGGTCTGTACGTGAGTATGTTCCGAAGGCCATGATGAAAGGCTTGAGTTAATTGTCCACTTTCTGCATTTGAAGTAGAAACCACATTGGCTGGGCTGAGGCAGAATTCAGGCTGTCTAGCCTGCCTGAGTTTGGTACCTTGGTGGCCTCTACTGCAGGGGCAGGCATTCTTCATGACTGACATGTTCCACTCTGCCCCCAAGCTTCCTTTTCTGCCTTGTCCTTTAACACCTACCCAAGGCCCTGGCTGGGCCTGTGTTACTCAGGGACACTCATGAGAGAGGAAGTGAAATGGTCACAGCCACTGGGGCTCCACAGGGCAGGCAGGGCGAGTCCAGCTGTGGTGTGTCCCCTCCAGCCACAGGTGCTCCTCAGTCTTCAATCTAGTCGATGTTGGCCCCTACGAACAAGAAGTTCTGGAGAGAAGGCAAAAGGGCAGATAAGAAAGGCCATTATCTGAGTTGCATAGGAACTTCCTGAAAGGGAAACTTTCATAGGGAGAGGCAAGTTATCAAATAAAAACCCAGTCAGTGCAGAAACCAAGACCTTAGGCTTTTATAAAAGGTCTTTAGCCCTAACTGGTTTGGCTCAGTGGATAGAGTGTCGGCCTGCGGACTCAGGGGTCCCAGGTTCGATTCCGGTCAAGGGCATGTACCTTGGTTGCAGGCACCTCCCCAGTAGGAGGTGTGCAGGAGGCAGCTGATCGATGTTTCTCATTGATGTTTCTAACTATTCCTCTCCGTAAAATCAATTTTTTTTTTAAAAAAAGGAGGTCTTTATAAAATTGTCCTTGCCCTAGCTGGTTTGGCTCAGTTGACTGAAGGGTCCTGGGTTCAATTCCGGTCAAGGGCACACGCCCAGGTTGCAGGCTTGAGCCCCAGTGTGGGGGAGGCAGCCGATAAATGATTTTCTCTCATCGTTGATGTTTCTCCCTCTCCATCTCTGAAATCAATACAAATATATGTTATAATAAAACTGTCCTTATCAGCTGTTGGCCCCCAAGAAATTATTTGCATATCCTAAGCTCTGGTTTCTGGAAGACCTCCATAACCACTCCAAAATGTTTTCTCCCAGGAGAATAATGTATACTCAGGTGCCGCTTGAGTTCTTCCCCTCACATAATTTCTGAGAATGTAGTCCTGGATTACCTTAGAGTAAAAAATAGGATCGATACTTTTTTAAAAAAGTTTAAAAAGAACATAGGAACAGTGAAGACACTGCAAACTAGTCCTGGATTTATATCCTAAGTTGTACTATGATGGTCCCTGTCCCCTGCCCTGATAAGTTCCTGCCACTAGAAGGCATGGTCAGTTTTTCCCCAGGACCATCCCTTGCTGCTGTGGGTAGGAGGGCTGGTCAGTGCCCAGTGGGGACCCTCACTCCACCAAGGGCATCAGGGCTTCTTCAGATGGCCTCTCCTCAACCCAAAAGTATTGCATCTGATCTGACACCTTTGCACATTCTGCCATATATGGCTAAGGACCTTGCACACTGTAGATGTTCAATTAACGTTGGACCTGAATTATTGAGGACTGAGCTATTGCACACGAAGCCCAGATTTCAGATCATCAAAACCTGCCATTTATATTCCAAATTTCATTTTTTTCTATGAAAATTAGGTCTAGGATGTAAGTGGGAGTTAAGGACTCCCCCCTAATATCCATCAACCCGAAAGCAGCCCTCCCAGGCGTTCTTAGAGCTCCCCAGCAGGCCCCACTTCTCACTGACCTTGTGGGCTTGGAGCTCCAAGCTGTTGAGGTAGGTGTCCCTGGGCAGAGGGAGTGGGAAGCCCTTTTCAAACTTTGCTGGAAGATGAACAGAGAGTGGGCAGGACAGAAAACACTGGGAGGCGTGGAGACACAGGCATTGCATCTGCAGCTGGCCAACGAGAGTGGGCCCCTGAAATGGAGACTATTGGATTCGGGGCTGTGTGGTTTTTTTTGGGGGGAAGGGAGTGGTACACACAGGCAAACACTTAGGAAATGCAGCCTCTAGGAGTCTACAGCCTCCTGGGCTTCTGTCCCTTCAAGAGCCTTTCCTCAATCGTCACCCAAAGTGGCCAGGGCTGGGCCGTAGAGTGTTTCTATCCAGGGACTCATCTCCAAGGACTACAGTCCTAACCTGGCTCAGCACCCACGGGTGTTAACTCCAGGTGTCCTCCACGTGCCACCTGGAATGCTCCCTCTTCTTGGGTCTAACTCCTTGTGCTTTGGACTCAACTTAGCCCTCACCTCCTGGGGTGACCTCTAAGTCATGTTCAGTGCCTCCTCCTAGCTCCTGCAGCCCCCAGTGCTTCCTCCTGTTGTGGCATTTATCAACTTACACGTATGCCTTCCCAACCAAGTGCAAACTCTGTGAGGGACAGTACCCCAGCCAGCACAGAAGACAGGCTCAATTTGTTAAATGAATGAACCATAAATGCTACAGAAAGGGTAGAATTCAGCCTTCACACGTGGCAGTCAGTAGCAGCTATTCTTACCATTGAGAGAGGGATATATAATGTAGGATGCGTAGTAATTGAAGATGGATTCCAGCAACTGCACCTGGAACAGGAGGGGCCAGAGCAAAAGGATCAAATGAGTCCAAGAAAAGAACATCTGCCCCTACCTCTGGGCACATCGACATGTCATTCCACTTACAAAAAATAGAGGTTGACTGTCCTGTCACCACCACAGATAAACAGCTCCCTGTTCACAGTCCCCCAAACTCCAAATCTCTGAACTTCATTCTCCATAATTGCATGCAAGCTCATTTTAAGGCAAAATGACCACAATTGTCACAGGGCTATCTATCTACTTTGTGTGAATATTTTAAAAACTTGGTGGCAGAAATAGTAATGTGTTTGATTATAGAGTGCTGCCCTAGATCCTGCTGGAATTGTTATATAATGTGGTACATGCCCCATATTATCTCAAAAAGTCTCAATTTTGAAACCCATCAGGGATTGTGTACGTGGGCTACTATTATTACAATAATGAACATATGTTGAAAGCTTATTATGTGAGACATTTTGTAAAAGTGTCTTACTGAATTCATTGCCCCATTTTATATTACAGCCCCCATTTGAGGTAGATGCTATTATTCCCATTTTACAGTCAGGGAAACTGAGGCTTAGAAAGGGTGAGTGATCTGCTAAGGTCACACAGCTAGCAAGTGGCAGAGCTGATCTAGGAGCCTAGATCTATCTCCCTTCAAAGCTCATACTCTCAGTGTCCCTGTCCTGTCGCCCCTTGAGCCCTCAGGCAATGCCTCTCTTGGCTGGTTAACTTTCAGATGTGGTGTCTCATTTCCAGCAAGACTGCAGTGCGTCTTCTTCTGGGATTTTGTCACTTCTTGAACCCCAGGATGCCCTGCTTGGACAAGACAGTCAAGAAATACTGAAGAGAAAACAACTCACATTGAAGAAACCGATGTTGGAGTGTTTCAGTTCCAGTTTCAGCTTACTGTGTGGAGAAGAGAGAAGCATGGTCACTCCAGGCCTTGGCTAATACTTTTTCACACTTATGCCGTGGGGTGTGCAGTCCCTATGGGCAAGGGCATTTCAGGGGCTTGGCCCCCAATGGCTCCTCTGCAATTTAAGGCTTTCAGCATGCGCTGTGATTTAAGAAGTGGCATTAAAAAATAGTGTTACCTGAGCACCGTTGATAACTTGGAAGAAACTATGATGACATAAATATTAACTGGAGAAAGTGGAGTATAAGAAGTAATGCACTGTATGTTTCCAGTTATATATAAATGTATAAAAAAAGACTGGAAGGAAACATGAAAATATTAAGAGTAATAGTCTCTATGGGGCAAGATTATGGGTGATTTTTGATCTTGCCATGAGCATGGATTATTTGTATAATATGGGAATAGACAATAAAAATGGAAAGGAGGCCCTGGCTGGTGTGGCTCAGTTGGTTGGGCATTGTCCCGTGCACTGAAAGGTTGCCAGTTCGATTCTTGTGGGCTTGACCCCCCAATTGGAGCAAATACAGGAGGCAGCCAATCAATATTTTGCTCTCACATCAATGTTTCTCTCTCCCCCTTTCTCTAGTGTTCAATTTAAAAAATACATTTTAAAAAAAAACAAAACAGAAAGAGAGGCACCACAAATGGTAATGGCAGGCAGCTGTCAGCCACTGGAGTGAAGGAAGGCAGAGGGACTCGGCAGCTGGATTGCTGTCACTGTAAGAGCCGAACACCAATTTCCCCATTGCTCCCTTTGGCTGCTGACCTGGTTCCCTGATTCAGGAATTGTAATTACCCTGGACAGATCTCTGCTTTCTGCTCATGGGGCAGAGTCATTTTAATAATTCCAGAGTAAATTATTGGGTGAGATCCTCTGCTCACTTTGCTGTCTCCTCAGTCTAAGCTCTTGGCTGTCCTTGACACTGCAGAGAACCCCCCAAGCCAGGTCTGTGCATAAACTCAAATTCAGGGACCTCCAAAAGCTCACCATGAACGTCTTTCTCTTTAAAAATGATTTTATTGATTTCAGAGAGAGGAAGAGCGAGAAAAACATCGATGAGAGAAACATTGATCAGCTGCCTCCTGCATGCCCCCTACTGGGGATCAAGCTCGCAACCCAGGCATGTGCCCTGATGGGGAATCCAACCTGCAACCTACTTGTGCATGGGACGCTCTACCAACTGAGCCACACCGGCTAGACTAGCTTTTCTTTTCAAAGACCTCTTACGGAGATGTTCATTTGAATGGGGTTATGCGCCGTGGTCGGCAAACTGCGGCTCGCGAGCCACATGCGGCTCTTTGGCCCCTTGAGTGTGGCTCTTTCTAAGCCTTAGGAGTACCCTAATTAAGTTAATAACAATGTACCTACCTATATAGTTTAAGTTTAAAAAATTTGGCTCTCAAAAAGAAATTTCAATCAGTGTACTGTTGATATTTGGCTCTGTTGACTAATGAGTTTGCTGACCACTGGGGCATTCTATCAGCCAACAGACATCTAAACCTGAGGCCAGGAATTTGTTCTTCTGATGAACCCATTGCACCTGTACCTCAGCAGGGAGCAGCAGCCAGAGCAGCTAAGACATGGGGCACAGGTGAGAGCTCTGAACAGAGAGTACCACTAGGGCAAGTGCCAACCACTGGGGGGCAGTATAGTCTCTGCTATCCAAAGCCCGAACTCTGATTAAATAAATACTTGCCTATTGATTGGGTACCTGGACAATGGAGCAGTAAGCAGTGGCTTGGGGCACCTTTAATCCTCCATCTGAAATCTGCACTTTCTGATGTGTAATATTGACAGTGTTTCTCAATCTTATATGTAAAGTCCTTGCAAATACAGCTCCAAGCCCCACCCTCTCCAACTGGACTATTGTTCCTAAGTACTCTCTTTGCAGAAGTTTCAGCTCCTTCACTGGTGCCTATGAGGGGAAGTGAGAAGCCCATAGTGATGGGGAACCTGAAGGTGACCTCTGGTACCTGACAGCTTTTCTCGGCTTCTGGCTTTTCCCCTGAGGCATTGTCAATGTGCATTTTTTGGAGGGGCCAGATTAGAGAATGAGACAGCCCCAGTGGAGACTCCTGTTTCCAAGAGGCAGCTCCAGCCCTATCAGTGAACCAGACTAGATGCTCTGACCACCTATTCCACACGCTCTGCTCCCCACACGCGTGGCCTCTTACCTTCCTGGGGTCAACGAGCCAAGGACCCTGCTGGAGCTCACACTGATGGTGGCGGAGATGTCAGTTCTCTAGAAAGCAAAAGGACATAACCCAGATTCTCAGGCTAAGTAGGCATCGTGTTGGCTCCCAGTCCAGGAGACAAATCTCCAGAAATAGAAACCACGGCCAGATGTGGGACTTAGGAGGAAAAGGCAGCTACTCAAGGATTATGGACTGAGAATGCAGGATGTTGGTGGCTCCATAGCTAAATTTAAGAAAGGTGAGCTAAGATTTCTGAGGTTTCCATCATTTTAGGAAATTGCTGGAAGCAAATTCCAGCAGGACATAATAAAATGCAAGAAGTTCATCAAAAGGCTGATGAACCTTGGGATTTCAGCAGGGCTGAAGATCTGCATATATTATTGCCTGATAATCTTTTACTGTTTACCAAACCTTACCTTTGATATGTATATCTGCTTTGCTATAGGGCAAAATGTGTGAATAAAAAGCCCTGGGTCCTGAGATTCAGGGAACTTAGTTACTAAAGCTAAGCCTCCCTTGGTTCCCCCAAAATGCCTCCCAAATTTATATTTCATGTCTAGTCTCTTTATTAATTTGCATCACAGCCCTTTCTCCAGATTCCTGAACCCTAGTAGATGCGGATAAGACCCCGGGAAAAATTATTATTTTATTTATTTATTTGAGGGGGGATGGGGAGATAGAAAGAGAAATCCATTTGTGTGTGTTTTTGTGTTAATCCTCACCCGAGGACATGTGTCCATTGATTTTTTTTGTAGAGAGTGGAAAGGAGGGGAGAAACATCAACATGAGAAAAACACATCAATTGATTGTTTCCCCGCATGCAGCTAGGAGTTGAGCCTGCAACCAAAGTACGTGCCCTTGGCTGGAATCAAACCTGGGATCCTTCAGTCTGCAGGCTGATGCTCTATCTACTGAGCCAAACCATCTAGGGCTGAGGTTTCCATCTTAATGGAAGCATCAAAAGGGGGCGAATAAGCACTGTCTGGTGTGGCTCCATGGTTAGAACGTTGCCCCTTGAACCCAAGGGTCTTGGGTTTGAATCACGGTAAAGAGCATGTACCTAGATGGCGGGTTTACTCGCTGCCCCTGGTCAGTGCATGTGTGGGAAGCAACCAGTCAATGTGTGTGTGTCTCTCTCTCCCTAACTCCCTCTGAAAAGCTATGGGGGAAAAAATATCCTCAGGTGAGGATTAACACACACACACACACACACACACACACACACACACACACACGAAAAAAAAAAAAGAAGAGGAAGAAAGGGGTAATAAGCCCAAACTAGACTCAGAGTATTCGAACTGGGAGACTGCCCCTGTAAGAATGACTTTGGAGCAGACTATCAAGGAAGTTCAGAGAATCTCTGAGCCCTTGTCAGATACTGAGCCCTTGTCAGATATATGATTTGCAAATGTTTTCTCTGATTCTGTGGGCTGTCTTTTCACTTTCTAGAATGGTGGTATCCTTTAAAGTACAAGCTTCTAAGTCTGATGAACTCCAATGTACCTATTTTTTATTTTGCTGCTTATGCTTTTGAGTTGATCTGAGAAGGCTCTGCCTAACCCAAGGTCATGAAAATTTATTGCTATATTTTTTTCTGAGAGTTTTATAGTTTCAGCTCTCACATTAGGTCTATGATCCTTTTGGAGTTAATTTTTGTGTATGGTGGTCTGGCTTCATTCTTTTGCATGTGGATGTACAGTTGCCCCAGTACCGTTTCCTGCAAGTCTGTTCTTCCACATTTAATTGTGTTGGTTCCCTTGTTGAAAATCAATTGACTATAAATATGGGGAATTAATTCTGGATTCTTAATTCTATTCCATTGATCTAGATATCTGTCCTTGCACCAGTACCATGCTATCTTGATTAATATAGCTTTATAGTACATTTTGAAATAGGAAAGTATGAGTTATGCAACTTTATTTTTCTTTTTCAAGATGTTTTTGGCTATTCTGGGTCCCTTGAATTTACATATGAATTTTGGAATCAGCTTGTTATCTGGCAAAAAAGCCAGCTGGGATTTTGATAGGTGTTATGTTGAATCTATAAATCAACAGCAAGAGTATTGCTATTTTAAGAGTTCTTTAAATTTTATATCTTCTTTAAAAATATAATTTGATGACTTTCATTTATAACAATTTAAATAGGGTTATGCTTTAAACAATTTTTTATAACAAACATAGCAGTGAGAAAGCTAAAATTTTCAACTCAGCTGGAGTGAATGACTTTTAAGGTTTGTTGAAACTCTGATATTAACTACTAGAGGCCCAGTGCATGAAATTTGCAGTCCTCTCGCAGTCCGGAACCCCTCGGGGGATGTCCAACTGCTGCCTAGAGGCCCTCTCACAATCTGGGATCCCCCGCTCCTTACCGCCCGCCTGCTCACTCCCTACTGCTCAGCTTGCTGCTCCTTAGCACTGCCACTGTGCTCGCCAGCTGAGAGCCCAGCTTCTGCCAGAGTAGCGCTCCCTCTGTGGGAGCGCACTGACCGCCAGGGGGCAGCTCCTGCGTTGAGCGTCTGCCCCCTGGTGATTAGTGCACATCATAGCAACCGGTCCTTCTGGTCGTTTCACTGTAATGGTCGCTTAGGCCCGTGGTCGGCAAACTGTGGCTCCCGAGCCACATGTGACTCTTTGGCCCCTTGAGTATGGCTCTTCTTAAGCCTTAGGAGTACCCTAATTAAGTTAATAACAATGTACCTACCTATATAGTTTAAGTTTAAAAAATTTGGCTCTCAAAAGAAATTTCAATTGTTGTACTGTTGATATTTGGCTCTGTTGACTAATGAGTTTGCTGACCACTGGCTTAGGCTGTTATATATAGAGGTATAGATACCCTTGGGAAGCCTGGCATTCAGATCAGAATTGCAAGGCCCACTTATACCTCCAGTGGAAATAAATAGCCTCCAGCATCTATCAGCTGTGCAGCCTCCTAGTCTTTCAGCTAAGGGAGGGGCTTACACCCATGGCAGACATAACCCTTTGCTGCCCCAGCCAGAATCAGACTTACCGCCCTGAGTTGGAAGAGTGGCTTGCGGTTAGAAGAGTTGGGCAGGAGGGCGAATGCCTGGATGTTCATCACTGGCAGGCAGGTAACATTTCCAGGGGTGAACATCAAGAATGGAGCTGATTCAGGTGACATCTCAAGTTCTAGCTCTGTATTGGGGTACAACCTGGCCAGCTGGAGAAAGAGGGCAGAGACTCAGGGGAGGGCAGAACACAAATGAAGGGACTCTGGCTCAGTCTCTAAGGGCCTGAAATCAGCAGTGGAAATATCTCAGGATGGAGAAACTTGTATTTTCCAGAACTCCTTTTCAATAGATGGCTGTGTGGTTGGAAAGGGCACTCGGGTAAAGTGTGTGAGATGGGTGAGACACCCCAATGGGCATGTTCCAGTAAGAATAGATGGTTGCCTAGCCGGTGTGGCTCAGTGGTTGAATGTCAACTTATGAATTAGGAGATCACGGTTCAATTCCTGGTTAGGGTACATGCCCAGGTCACGAACTCGATCCCCAGCGTGGGGCACACAGGAGGCAGCTGATCAAGAGCCACAAAGTTTCGATCGCACTGTACGCGCGTACCTGCATGTGGTATTTTGTGGAAGAGCCACACTCAAGGGGCCAAAGAGCCGCATGTGCCTCACAAGCCACAGTTTGCCAACCACTGGCCTAGGTCAAGAGGCTTGCCTTGTCCTCTATGATGAGTAGGCAGAGGTCTTACCTGAGGAATCACGGCCCCTAGTGATTTGGTGTGCAAGTGAATTGGAAAGTCCAGGGGACTCTGCAGCAGAAGCAGGAAGTTGCTTAAGAAGCAGGACATCGTGGTGATGAAAGGCGTGGTCTCAGAGGCCAGACAGCTTGGGTTCCGCCATTCTTTAGCTGAGTGGTCGCTGAGAAACTCGGTTAGGTTCTGTATCTGTAAAATAGGGGTGATAATAATGGCACTTGCTGTACAGGCTGTGCAAGGATTAAATGAGATAGTATGTGGAGAAAGCACCAAGTGCAGTGCCTGGAACATATTAAATGGTACTTAATAAATGTCTGGTACTGTTATTTATTATTTTTCAGGATGATCCCCTAAAAGGCCAATGAGGACTGATCACCACCACAATCTGGATTTAGTGAGCTTCCAGATATAGCTTCCCCCAAAATCTGTTTCTCACCATCTCTTGTGGTGTCATTCTCTACCCACCTCATGACTTGCTGATCTTTCAGCTTGGGGAACCCTGCCTACACCTGTTCTTAGCCAACCTTCCTTCAAGATCCCCACTCTCTACCTGGGCAGCTCCTAGAGCACTTATCACTGCATAGGCTCTGGAGCTGTGCTGCTCAGAACTCCCTTCAAGGGGGTCAGCAGAGAGAAGGGCAGCTGGCTGCCACTGCCTCACATTCGGGCCCTACACCATTCACACCTGAGGTGCGCTCTCCCAGGTGGCTCCAGCCCCTGCGGAGCATGGCTGGGGTGGTAGAGCTGGAGAATTTTGTCAGATCACTGCCAGGATTGGAAGTGGTAGTGTAAGCAAGAGACCAACAGGAAAGGGCGCTCCTCCACCCCCACTGCCCATTTTCCCCTGTGGCATGGCATCTTCGAGGGTCAGATGTACCAACGCAGATGGGCTGGGGGATCATCTTATTGCCAAGGGAGCCCTGAACAAAAGGCCCCTGCTGCTCTGTGGACTGAGGGGGAAGAGGTGGAGGAGAAAGGGAAGGGCCCCAAGTAGAAAAGTATTGAGTACTGAGACTGAAGAAAACTGTCTTCGAGACCTCCAGGAAGGGGTCTCATCGGAGGCACATGAACAGTGTCTTGGCTGAGGTTCCCCTCCTCCCCCACCCATAAGTAGACCTCTGAACGGAGGTGTCTAGACTAGGAATGCTGATATGCCAGCCTCCGGTGGGAGTGGGGCGGGGCTTGAGCTCCTTCTAGAGACTGACAAGCACTGGCCCTGCCCCAGTGTGATCGCCTGTGGTCAGGTCTGAAAGAGCACATGGTACCACATTGCATTGCAGTCTGAGGGCTCTCCCATCTCCTCCTCCTCCTCTCTTTTACCCTTAACAGGTATTTCCCTAATAAAACTCTTATAAGTCTAATGCTGTCTTGGCATCTGCTGCTCGGAGAACCTGTTCTGACACACCAGAGTCTGTCTTATTTTTGTAAAGTCCTGCTAGTCATAGCTAACGTGTATTGTGTGACAGACACAAGCTCTTTACAAGCTCTCATAGAACCCCTGGGGGTCCATGTGCACACGCAGGGAAACTGAGGCACAGCCTGGCTTGGCACTCATGTTGGGCAGGCTCCAAGTTCCACATTCTTCCCCTAGCTTCCGAGGACACCCCGAGTGGGTCTACAGTCCCACTTGATGCTCTCTCCTGGACCCCCAGCCTCCTCCATGCCCTACTCACGTCCTCATTTCGGATGGTGAAGTTCATGTGCCCAGCCTGGTGGTAAACCCGGCTGGCCGTGTTGAAGACATATTGGGACACTGCAAAGTAGGCCATGAGGTCATGCTGCTGGGGCAGCCTGATGGGAGGAGCATCAAAGGGGACTGGGGAGCGCTGGCTTCGGCCAAAGAATTCACCCTGGAGACAGAAGGACATATCAGTCACCCAAGGCTCCTTCCAGAGAGGATGTCAGGCAGAGACATCCAAAGCCTGCCTGGGGGAGGCCTCCTATTC